AGTCGAGATAGCCGGTCTTCGAGCCGAGATTCGAAAACAAGATAGGTCGAATACGAAACAAGAATGGTCCAACTACTAGGCTGAGACCATCGGTGTGGCATATGCCACTCTTCCTCTGAACATTAAGATGACTGCACGCAGCACATGGAGTCGGTCGGAATGCTGACACATGACAAAAAAACAACAACACTGGTTTGCCCTCGGGGTAATCCAGTCAGGGGCTTCCTAAACTCTACTGAAGTTACATCAACTCTTCACCCAGACCCTAGACGTAGAGTTACTTTCAGGAACACTTCAGCAAGATACACTTTTCGACTTTAGTACTACCAGAACCAGAACTAGATTCAAGAATGTGCATTAGACGTAAATTTGTACCGACAATTCCGCTGCCAGATATCGTCGGTTGCACGCTTCGCTGTATTTAGCTATTTTGTTTGGATTAAAAAATAGCTTTACGTATTCCTCCGGCTGAAAACAACATCCTCTCTCGATTGTGACGCCGTGGACTCGTAGGTAGAAACCAAAGTTTCGAAAAAAAAAATATACTGTCTCATCTTCTGGGCACTTGGGGCAACAGATTAACCAATAACCTCACCGCACCCTACTATTCGAACATCAAATCCTACTTCATTCACAGTACACCTTCCTGCTGCATATCGCTTCATTAACCAACTCAATGCTGCCATTTTGTGCAAAATAACCAGAACAGAAACCAACAACAATCATATACAACCAGTCTTTACTTTGGCCAAAACTGTAACAATCGCTAATCGCTGAAATTTTAAAAGGTAACTACGTCTGTTTGGTTTTCGAATAGTGAAATGATATGGGGCACAGCCCTGGAAGATGGCTGGCATGCAGCCATAAGCTGCTGCCATCTTCAAAGTCCAAAATAACTTCTTTTCGCACTCCTCCATTACACTGGGAACTACAGCAGAAGTGTGGAAATACCATTGACAGAAAACTGCATTTACAATGGAGGTAAGAAGTCGACTTAATAAAAAAAATTCAAAGTTGCCTACAGAGTCCGCAAGTGAACATTTACAATTACGCACGAGGCCGTATCATTGTCCTTTGACTTCACATTTCTGGAGGCTCCAGCGACCAACTGCGTAATCCGCGTACTCATCACAATTCAGCCGGTCACACCATCAACTGGCACAACAGAAATACGCAAATAGTAGTGCTATGTTTAAAGACCGTCATTTAGCCGCCGAAGGGGCATGAAAATTGGAACTAATGCAGTTACCTGCAAAATAGCAATTTTGTAGTTGCCAGAATCTATAGTAAGCGACTGTAATCTTGAAACTTGCAAGGAATGCAGGAAGTCCGAAGCGTTAAAGACTGACGCTATCTTTCCTCCTTCACCCCACTTCCTCGCCCCGCAAGTCACAAGATTAGTCTTACACCGAACAGAGCACCACGAAGAAATGTGTTCCCTCCCAACTTCCATTTTTACGTACATTAAGACGGTCCATCACACACAGACGTCTTCCCCGTAACAAACAGCTGAGTCAATTAGACTCAACTGACCCCCTAATTGACGCTCATTCGATTCATACATCATAAGGATGCATAACTTAAACCACAAGAATATGTTTTAACTAGGCCTACATCTCAAACGTGGGTGTCAAATATGACGATGCTGAACGCCTGCTTTTGGCATTATATCCTTGCTTCATTAGAAACAGGAACAAATTATGTTCCCAACTAATTTTTGGGCAAATTTCCTTCTTTTTTTGAAATTCCACATGGTAAACCCACCACCACAATCATTTTAATTCCCACGCCTGCTGGTAAAGTGAACTTCGGAAATAAACGCCTTCAAACAATGGACCGATCTTTGAGAAAATATAAAGCAATTGTGCAAAAGTCAGAAAATAATGTCAAGGGGCCAAATATACATTCTTTGGTTCAATGACAATAACCTCTGCATCAATTCACTTGGCAGAAACGGACGTATGCTAAGGAGATGCACACATAGTTTGTGCAAAGAAGAGATTAGCAAAAGTTCCATCACCGGGGGTCGCATTGGTTGCTCCTATCTTGTCGAATCTAGCATAAAAATCAGTAATACTGTAGAGCTGTAAGTAAAACTGTATCAGACTGACATAGGAAATCTGGATGTTCACTTGAAACAGATAAATGTTTCATTTCCCAACAACAGATTAGTTCAAAACCTCTTAATACGCTTCTAATACATTGACTTAAAAACAACAACCTAACTTCACAAATGAAAGTAAACAATTCATAAAAATGTGCATGATAAAAATTATACTTCAAAATATTTCTTTTGTTGTTTAAAACATAAACACACCGCTACAATTTTAAAAAGTTCATGTGGCAAAATGAAAGCAGAAGTCAACAGTACTGTAACAAATGTTACTAAATCACATAAAATGAGAAATCCTACAAGAATTAAGGCACCTAATTTTAAAAATACTACGAAAACAGCTGAAGACCTTAATAGCATAAATTAGCCCAAATATAAAAATTATGTTCCTCTAATATCAATAACGTTAATACGAACAGCAATGAACATGCAGAGGCTTCAGATTGGGTTAGGTTAGGTATGTGCATGAGTAACAGCTTCATCATTCTGTCACAAATTCAACCTTCCATCATGGTGGTATTAACGAGTATGGCAAAAAAACAAGTATGGGGCTGGAGTAGTCACCTATGGGATAACGTCCATACCAAATTTAATCAATGGCACTACGGCCATTACCTAGTTATTAAATTTATCCAAATGGACATCAGTTGCGAAGGCATCAGACTGGGTTTAGTTAGATGGCATCATCATCATTCCACCTCGTAATATCCATCATGGTGGCATCACCAAGTGTGGGAGAAGGTAAGGTAAAGATTGGAGTATGGCATAACATTCATATCAAATTCATTAAATTTCTCTCCAGCCATTCTCCAGGAATTAAATTTATCCAAATGTATATCAGATGCAAAAGCGTAATTAGCCTGTGCTATGTAGTGATCGGCAAGTGCAGACGCTCATGCACAATGGCATCAATCCACTTCACATCTTCAAGCAACTATCGCATTGGTGTTAGCAGTGTAGAAAAAAAAAATATTACACTGGAGTAGTTCCCTGAATTTCTGTGCAGGCATTCCCTGGTTACTATAAGCCAAAATCTTTTGAACAATGAAATGATGTACATAAGATTGTATTGGAGTGTTATATTGTTGAATAAATTGTATATATCACTCAGAAAGTTGTATAAAATGTCAATAATAAATAATATATGGGAAAATGTACTTTATGGAATTATAGGATTTTAACATTATAGTCCTACACGTATATATTTCTGAGTTTATATAAGACAAGTCTAACAAGAGAAAACTTTGTGCACACATACATATAATGATCCCTAATTAAGCTGAATTTCATTTAGCAATGAGAATAGTTTATTTACTGAATGTAAACATAAATGTAATTTCCTTGCCTTTCTGACACCTAGACTAACAAAATGGATTCACTCAATTACGAATTGGGGGTCAATAATGTACAAAAAAATCCTCAGCCAGTTTCAAATGTTCGCTATTTGTGCAATTTAGAGCTCTAAAGTAAAGACAGCACACAGATTTACATGCAAAAAGTGTGTATGCACACACAAAAGAAGTGTTACTGCAGCCCTATTTACATGCATCACATCTCTTGGTCCCTTTCGGTCCAGTTCAATCACCTGAACCAAACAGTTAAAGAGGTTTCCAGTCAAGCAAAATGTATAAAAACATATAAAACCAACAGCAATCATGAACCTTCAAGCAACAGTTACCATTACACATGCATTTTGTACAAATAAACAGCTACAAGCTATCTGTTGTAAACATCCACTTTTTAGTTGACTATGGGAAAGATTCTAATGTCAAACCTAAGGAACAACAGTACTACTGTTTTGTTGTAATACAATGTTAAGTTCATTACAGATGATCAGTTGTCAAGGAGACATTCCATTCATTATGACACGGTGTGAGAAACGCAGCGTCATTGTGCTGAAGAAGCTGATGAAAATTGTGAACTGTCTACTGACTTAATCTGTAACACACACACCACACATGCAGTTATATAACATATTCACATCAGTTTGTAATATATGAAGGTGGCATTTATTTTGAGAAAGGTGCTTAAGTGACCCTTGAGGTATGTGCATCACAAAAACTTGCTTCATCCCAACAGATATTCTAAATTTACTAATTTTAACATTCATAATGACATTGCCATTGCCAAGCTTTTCAAGATCTTCAGAACTAAATCTACTTCATGTACAGATGCATAGAACTGAACCAATTTACATATTCCAATATTTTAAAACGACACTGATTCCACTGTTTTAATTATATAAGCCAAAATGTTTAGGCACACTAAAACTATAAGAACTGGTAGAATATGCTGCAGTTTGGTAAGAGTATGTGATGTAAGGTGGGGTCTGCAGTGGCCGCGCCGTCTGAGGCGTGGGCCTTCTACCGCTTGGTTACTGGGACCGTGGGTTCGAATCCCACTCAAGCCATAGATGTTTGTCTGCGTTTTTCTGTGTTGTGCTGCCCTGTGTACAGGTAAAGGCCTTGCGAAGGGGCCGATCCCTCGTCCAAGGAGTCCTACCGAATGTCTATAGATCAAGCCAACGAAACGTTGGGACCCGCAGTGCTCAGGCACTTGAAGAATGGGTTGTTCCCAATATGTGGTGTAAGATCTAATGTAACACATTACAATATGTACAATTATCTGGGGTAAATTAGTGTTTTGCCTAGTAACCTTAAACAAACTCAAAATTTCAGACAAAATTAGTGTTTTGCCTAGTAACCTTAAATAAACTTCAAATTTCAGACAGTTTGAAATAACAGCTGCAAACAACAGCTATATACAATAACTCTGTTGACAGCTGTTCTTAAATCTGTAACTAATGTTCCCACAGTTCAGAAATCTATTATCAAAAATTAACAAAAATTAACTTATTAAAGTACTGTATATAGGTAAGTGCACAAACCTTAACTTTATAAAATTCCAGTGGCAGAAAATGGTCCTACAAGTCCTGTCCAACTAAATGTGCATGAGGGCCACTGGCTGGGGTATGAATACCCAGAACTATATTAGGCGGTGATGTGTGCTTAATGGTGACGGAATCCTGGGCACTATATAATTAAACTTAAACCGTAAGTCACTGCTTCACATATAGGGCCAAGATGATAACGTTACTCAACTGATATGCGACATTTTCAAATATCTACGGGTATATATGAAATACATAACGATCACTGTTCACTAATGACACACTAATCCTGGTCATGTGTCAAAACACTAAGACAAACACAAAACCCACACAAACAGGCACACTGCAAGCAAGTGTAGCTCCTCACTAACCAGCAGAGAACACATCCACCCCCGTAAAGCCACTGCTCATAGGTTACGAATAGGGATGGCGCGTGATTATTGGAACAGCTGCAGAGGAGGAATAGGATAGCATGCCGTCTGACAACAGCCGCTAAACATTACAACTAATCCCATATATGTATACTGATTAAAAATATAATAACGATAAACTTGTTAACTATTTACTGTACAACTTCTCACTACCTTATTAAAGTGTGATTTAACTATGTAATTACTGAATCCGAATCTCCCTCCGTAGGGCATGCATGCAAATGGCGCCTAAAATGTGCTTTATTATCACAACTAAACATAATACCACTGATCCATTACAGTAAAAAGAACCAACAAGGGAATAACAGTTTTGCCTATCGTGCAATGGGAATCTAAGATGTTCATCACAATATGAAGTTACCGTGCCTTACGAGAGCCTTGGGTGACACACCCCTATTTTAGTGTGTCAGTTTCCACTGAATCTATATGAATGAGGACCATCACCAGCACCTATGGCGCAAATTTCATGTAATCACTTAACTACTATTATCCCGAAAATCATAAATATGGTTTAAACAATTTATTAACTTACCAATACTATTTATCACAACTACACACACACACGCACACATACGCAGCTTTCCACTTTCCCTGCAAGAAGCACGAACCGACTCAGATTAGAATCTCAACCTCCGGCTGATCCGAGGAGCGCCCTTACTCCCTACAATCAGATTTCCAATGTAAGAAAGTATATACTTTATAAACTACACCAGAAAATAACAGTGTCGGCACATTATTTTTTATGTTTCGCTTCTATAATATTAGCAGATATTCTACAATACATCATTAAAATTTATCAAAATATTATATTGTGGTCACAGATGCTCCTGTGCCACTGCAACAACGCCAAGAGCAAGAGTAGGTCCACCATCTGTGCTGTGCCACTGCAACAACGCCAAGAGCAAAGGCAGTAGTAGGTCCACCATCTGTGACAGTGTTCCATGCAAAGCTTTGGCCAATGTTGGTCGGATTGTTGGGTAATGGTTTGTATATTTAGGACTTTCAATTTTCAGTGTGATGCAGTTTGATGAAATCTCATAGGGTGTTTGTTATGAGATATTGTAAGTGCAAATTGAAATTCTGTAAGCTTTAGTCTTTATCAGGTTTGCAAGAGGAAGTGCCACACTGTACGCTTATATCCGTTTGGCTTCGGGTTATAGCTTTTATAACATACAGGCATTGTAAATAGTTTGAACCATTAAAAATAAACATTTATGGTAATTTTAATTGTTGTTACAGTTACTGGATCTTGCTAGGTGGTGTGTCAGCAGCGTACAGTAAGGTAACCTACGAGTCTGCTAGATTACACATTAAGAAGAATTTGATCATGAGTTGGTGTGTGAAATCGTTGTCACTAATTTGTCAACAAATTAAGAACCCACAACTGACGTGTGTACGTAATCGCTATCACGCAGAAAAGATAGCAAAAGGACCTCTTCTGCGACGGTATGGATATAGAGACAGAATTCTTCAAAGTGGAACTTTACCGCATGTTGATGGACCACGGTTACCCATGCCAGTGTACAGACCAAAAAATGCATGGTGCGAGAAGCGTGCATTGTTTGGGCAGAATGATTATATAGACATTCTTGGGAATGGAGATCTTCATCCAACCAGGATCATGTACAATGTACAGTCATGGCTACGCGGTGTGAAAGGAAATGAGTATCAAATACTGCTTCGCAAAAGGAAAATATTTAGTAAAGGAATAGTACCAATTGCAAGACCCACTAAATGGAGAGATTTAAACAAAAGAATAAGTTACCTCTATAGATTCTTAAATGAAAAAACCAAAACAGGCATGCCCAGCAATTGAGGCTGAGTTACAAATGTTTGTAGTTCTCAAAGATTATATGTTTAATATGTATCTCATTACCATAATTATTATGAAGAATGAATAAATATGATGACTTGGAAAAGAAATTAAATTCAGTAGTGTGTGGGTAAGAGCAGATCATTACAAGTAGAGTAGTTAAGTCAAAGAATAAATTGATTCATTGTATTTCTTTTACCTACTTTCTGATAAAAGAGAGTACTAAAAAGGCTGTGTTGCACTCACAGATTTGGAGAATCAGATACAAACTACAACTACATGGGGAAGAGTCTTCCTTGAGAAGTTGGTATCACACTCATCTAGTCAAGTTCCTTGCATTTTTGTGGAACCCAAAAGTTAAATATCATGCAAGTGATTTCAGATTCTCAGTGATGAGTATGGATATGACTTGTCTTGCAATACTGCACTGTGTGGTCTGGTAGATACTGATCAAACTGCACAATGCAATATCCCAGAAGACAGCAATTTTCGTTCATTATCATGTTTGCAGGCACCACCACTGGCCCTTATCATATGCCAGATGAAACCAGTCTAAATCCAAATAACTTATTTCCATCAGATCCATTTTAATATTATCCTCATATCTATGGCTAGGCCTTCAAGTGGTTTCTTCCATTTAAGCCTAACAACCAAAAATTTTGAACACAATTCTCAATCTCATGTACACTGCATGTCCCAGTCATCTCATCTTCCTTTACTTGATCATCTTCATTTTGGGCAAAGAATAAAAATTATTGAACTCACCATTATGTAATTTTCTCCAGCCTCCTGTACAGATATTACTTCAGCACCCTGATCTCAAACACCCTCAATCTGTTCTTCTCTTAAAATGACAGGCCTCATTTCACACCCATGCAAAACAAAAGTAAAGTTATTGTTTTGTATATCTTAATCTCTATGTTTTTAGATGGTTTATGGTAGCAAGCAATCCCAAAATTTAATGTTCTTAATTTCTTCATTAATAAAATTTTGTTGATTTTGTCCTGTAGTCTGGTGATTAGACATATTTCAACATCCTTATTAGCAACTAATATAACTCTCCTTTATGATACAGTTTTACTTATGATATTTCAGTTTTCACTTTAATCTACATCAGTGTAGACCAGAAATTAGGAAATATCTCTATAACCCATAACAGGAGAAATGAGAGGATAATTTATTTAAAAAGTAAAACTACTGAATTACCTAGAAGGATCTCATTATATCTATACATTTAAAATGAACTACATAAATAAGCAGAAGACGTGGAAATGTACACAAACCAAGTGAGTCAGCAGAATCATTTCACTGAAGACATTAACTCAACAAATTAATTATGGTTATCTTGTGTTCATTTCCCTAGTCTTTGTTTTTTGGACTTCGGTCAGAACACATCTTTCTGTCATCCATTTTACATGTTGGACTTCAAGTACATTTGTAAATTAATGGTTTTAACATTCTGTACAGTAACAAATGGAAATTAGAACAATGGAGCTATTTCCCCTTAAAGTTACAAAATGATTAGATGAGCACAATATAAAATTATTCTTTTTACATAAAATCACAAATATTATGACTTTACACTGCATGATCAAATATTAAATTAAAAAAGAGATACTCATCCTCTTTTGCTTTCCTAATGTTTACAACACTAACCTCAACATTCATACTATGTTAGTAACAATATCATATGTATGTGGCGAAATATACAAATTTAAAACTGGAAAGACAAGACAAATGGCAACATTTTCAATTATTTTAATTAAGCTTCGAAGTTGGGTCTATCAGTTCAGTCATAGGTCATTATCATAATAATTGCAACACAAGTTATAGTATAAACAGGAAAAAATTTGTTTTAAAAAAGTCTATCTGAAAATGATGATTGCACTTATTCACAAAGTTTACTTGATGGCTACTGTGACAACCACCCAGAAAACTGTAATACTTTCCTTCACAAAGGAAACATAAATATAATTACACAACACTGCAATATGGGATGTAGGACTGGATATTTGCTGCACAGCAGAAAATACCATTGCAATATTGCAGTATTAAAAAGGGGGCAGTGCACTCAAATGTTCTTGCACTATAAGTGGTTCTGGAGAAAGGAAAGAAGTGTTGTTTCATAATGCTTGCTGGCATCCAAGTGGCGGAGGCTGTGTCTTTCATTTGGGTACACCTAAAAAATGGTCATCAAGTTCTAAGCAGTTTAACCATAACATATCATTTGACCTTAAAAGTGCCCTGACTATAAATCCCAAGTAAGAAAGATAATATGAAACCCTGGAATTTATTTACTAGCTCAGATGGCAGCTGATAATTCATAAATTTGGCCATGACCACTTCCTTCCATACCTTTCCAATTCTTCATTAATCTAATCATTTGAAACTATACAGTCTGAGCTAATGACTGTGTTGTTAAATGAATCAGATATAAATAAATAGTTGAAATCAGTCTTACCTGCAATTGATAGGGTTTTCCAGCTTTAACCATAGCAGCAATAAATTGGCTAGTATGGAAAAAGTGAACATTCTCATCAATCAGTCCATGAATTATCAAGAGACGATTTTCACTGGAAAATAAAAAAAAGAAGTAATAAGCTGGAGACAGTAACAGTGTACTGTACATTTAACAAAAGCACACAGGTCTTTTTTACATAAATTCTATACACATTCTAAGCTTTCTCATGCGTACTCCATGCCCCACCTATCTAATCCACCCTGACTGAAATAAGTAAAGAGAAGAAGAAGAAGAAGAAGGAAGGTAAGTAAGTAACAAACAAACTGCAATTTGTGAAATATGTAAAATATTGACCTCTTTAAAATATATACTTCACACAGCTTCAGTTGTTTTGCATTCTTTAAACAAAGAGGAAAAAATTAAAGGATGAAAGAAGCAAACAGACTACAGAGTCTTCTGGTGTCTAACATTTACTTCACCATACAAATTTACTACACATTTGCTAAGTCCAGAAATCAGTGACTCTTCTTTCCTTCAGTCTGAAACTGTGATACTCACTCATCTGGGAACTGGTTAACATAATTGAGTATGGATCCTGTCCGATACCCATGTGCATTGTTCTCGGGGAGATCCATGTACCTCTCTGTGTAGCCTGTATCATACAGTGTCCAATTTGTTACAGGTGCCCCAGCTATAGAAATCTGAAACATGTAACGTCTGTCACAGATCCTTTACTGTTACCCTGAGATATTACCTACTTGGGATTAAAAATATCACCATGTCACAGCTGAAGAAAGTTGGTTTTAGCCAACATCTGCTTTTGAGTGGAGCCTGGGTGAGATTTCAGGTTCTCAGATGACTGTCTTACGGGATGTTGTGCTGCACTGTCTGATTGTCATCACCCTGATGATGGAGGCAGCAAGCACTTCTCAAATGCTCGTTCACTTCTACTATACTATGTGATGCAACATCCCAGAATACAGTCATATTCAAATGAAAACTCTGACTGGCTGAGTCATGAGTGACATGGATGGAAATAGTAACGGAAAATTAGGGATGAGAATGAATTGATAATCAGTGGGGTACAGATTTTTTCCTTCAAATAATGTGTCTACAGAGTTGTAGTATACTGTTTACTGTGATGTGGTTGTCAGCAGTCCTATAACATTCCTGAAGTACCCATCCCGAGAGACCTCAGAAGGCAGGGCAGAAAGAACCATAACCTTACTAAACAACCCATGGGGCCAATAACAGTGCTCTAAAGAGCTAGGGCTTACATTTACATTTGGTATCTGGGAGCAAAAGCACCTAAACATTGGTGATGCAGGAGTTTCAACAGGGATGGCACTGAGAGGACAACGATGAAGCTTAGCTGTCCAGAGTAAGACAAGAGACAAGTGATGCCTGTAGTGAGACAAATTCTCATTCATGGCAACTGGCCAACACTTCATTGTGGCGGCAGTGGCTAGATGAAAGGGGGTGACGAGTCATCTAAGGAAGATACCTAGACTGGGGTATATGAGAGCAACAGCAAAGTGGTTAGCACTCCTGCTTCACATTTAGGAGATCTTTGGTTGAAATCTCAGCCTGGAGACAGACTGTCGTAACGGAATTTTTGTGGCTTTCTTCAACCCATTGTGAATGTGTTTAATGAAGTCAGCATTCAACCTACAGACCTCATGAACAAGGTATAGACAAGCAAGTTACTCACCTTGAAGATCTCAGGATGCTGAGCAAGTGCCATGAGACTCAAATAGCCACCATAGGACCAGCCATGAATGGCAACACGATTCATGTCTATAAAACCAAGGCTATCTGCCAGCCACTGCAGTACCTCTATCTGATCAGCAAGTTCCACTGTGCCCTGACACAAAAAGATAAAAGAAAGGTGACACATGTTCGCTGAATCATTACTTGTGCAACATTAAAAGAATGTTAGGGCTTTAATGAATGGTGAGGCCGTTTGATAGATCATGCATTTAGCTGTTGGTTCCTCACCATGGAGGTTCAGCTTCAATTCCATGGCACCTCATGGGGGATTTCTGGTTGATAAAGTAGCAATGCAGCAGGTTTTGCTCAGAGTACTCTGATTTCTCCTGTGACTAATCATTGTGCTTAAGCTGCATACTTATCTATGATATTATTATTATCAGGGTTTAGTACATAAGCTCCTGAGGCTGCACTGCCAAGGAACTTAGTCTAATCACATTCATAACTTCATAAATGATGAGGAAGTGAGTATAACTATTTGTTCTGTCCGACCTATACCTCTACCTATCACAAATTTTCTACACAGCTTACTCATGACCTAGAAGAAGAAGGTACAAACTTGTCTGAAATGTCAGTCACTATTTACCAGACCACATGGTGCCACATCCCAGAAGATACTGATGGACATATTTGTATTTTAAGATACATCCCAGCCAAGGAATATGTTCAGAGGAAAATATTTCTTACAGATGTATTCCACGATAATTCTCAAGAAGGATCAGTGAAATTGAGGTTCCTATAGGCTATTACAGTCTTATAAAAATTGATCATACAATAAAAATTTCAACTGAAATACAGGCTATAAAGACCATACAGAAAATACATACAAATCTTTTAGCCATAACAATCAAATATAACTAATCCATTAATATGAATAGCTACTAAGCCAGAAAAACTAAATAAATCAGAGTATGATACAAACATAAAGATTTTATACTACTTACAACAATGTTTTACTTGTACTTACCATTCTTCCTCGTAAATAGCTTTCAAATTCCAGACCCCGGTGTTGTGACCCTCGTGAATCAATGGCCACTACACAGTAACCCTGAGCAGCTAACATATGCATTCTTAACTGGCGCATTCCCTGAAAACAAAATCTTTGAAAACAAAAATTGCTGCAGTTCTTTCTGAGAAAGTCTCAGTAAATAAAGTACAACTATTCCCTATCACTAAAGCCATCTTTGGGGTTCGAGCAGGGATCTTTTGTATATACGACATTGTCTTCACACCAAACAATCATACCTGTTGTATGAGTTACTTTTCATTCAGTTTTTGGTCCCCAGTATAAAGATAGTGCAACTGATAGTGTTATTACAAAACTCAATGTTATGAAAAGATACAAGAATCATGTATCACATAAATATAAGTAAAATGGAACAAAGATTATAAAACTGTGTAAGATTTGAGGTTTTCACAGCGGTAAGTATGAAGATTTCCATCTTCTGGGTTGTTGCGCTGTGTAGTCTGGTAGACGTTTACCAATGTTTCAGAGGTCATACTGCCTCCGTCATCGGGGCGATTTTTAGTATGAAGATTTCTATCTTCTGGGTTGTGTAGTCTGGTAGACGTTTACCAACGTTTCAGAGGTCATACTGCCTCTGTCATCAGGGCGTCATACTCTGATGACGGAGGCAGTACGACCTCTGAAACGTTGGTTAACATCGACCAGACTACACAGCGCAACAACCCAGAAGACGGAAATCATTATAAAACTGATTACACATCATGAAGATAGAAACTAATAACATATCAATTTATCACACTAGTAATGAATACATGAATGTGAGATATGGAAGCTAACATACCAACCTTGAAAGTATTGGATACCAACTGTACTTCAGGGCCCCCATATATGTTGAGAACAGTTGGGTACTTGTTTCCAGGCTGGAAGCAGTGAGGTTTGAACACCATGGCATACAGGATATCCCCTGATGAGATCTGATGAGTATACAGTTCTGGGTAGTAAAATTCACCTTCTGGAACTGAAAATAAGTTGAAATATTGTTGTCACAATGTGTAGTCTTGTAGGCAATTACCAATGTTTTAGAGGAACTTACTACCCCTATGGAACCTCAGATCTCAGGTGATTATTGTGGTGATTAACACTGGCCAAGGTAAATTACTTTCACACAATGTTGCAAAATACATATTAACGAGTATTAAAATCACTTGCCCCTTGAACAATACATTTCATGGTTCAGGAGGATTATACATCAGATATTTTAATCATAACAGAACATATTTCATAATAAGAAAATAAGTCTGAAACCCAGAATGAAACCAATACTCAAAGAAGCATTTGAATAAAAACAAGCATCCTAACTTTCATTACCAATTAAAATACAATGTTATTCACTTTTAGAACTCTACTATACAGCTATGTTTAGGACTTGAAAAATTGTGACGTGTAGCCTTAAAATTCTAAAACTGAGCCAATACAAAGAATATATAAGAAGAATAGAATGTTGAGAAATTAAGATTTGGTTATTGTGGCTTACATTTTAGCAGTCCAGCAAGTAGTATACACTTACCAGATGGTTCTAATAAGTATCCAACAGGTATGAGTGTTATGCCCTCCACAGTCCAGTCCGTATGCGATATTCGGAATACTTGACATGTCGGCAACTTCTGGACATTACTGTACACAGCCACAAGCATGGTGCACTCCTATACGAGATATAAAAGAAGTAATGCAAGAAACATCAGGTTTGAAATATGTCATACACTTTTAATAAGCAATTTTATTCATTCCTTATCACTGTGTAACTAGAATTAGCTTCAAGCAATACTTCTCAATGTGTTAATAAATAAATATCTTGCTGATGTCAGGAAAGGAACAGGGCAACAGGAAGTAAGGTTAAAAGCAATAAAAGGTAATTATTTACACATAGTAATATTTGTCGAGCCATCAGCTAGTGACTGAAGGACATGTCACAGATTTTGTGAAAGTAAATGAATTTCTGATCAAAAAGTGTAAGTTTATCATGTTCACAAAAAGTGCTAACCTTATTGAAGTCCACAGTATATGAGTAGCCAGGGTGAGTTAGCAGTCTAACTTCACCTGGCCTCCTTAAGGACACCACATACAAATGCTTCTCCAATGGAGACTCTCTAAGCCCCAGAAAGTACACCAACTGACGATCTGGATCAACCCATACAGAACGATCCAGAACTTCCCACTCGCCTGATGTTAGTGCCACTTTCTGGCCAACACGTGGTTGTAGAAATACACCTGCCAAAAAACCCCACAGCCTTTTACTGTTTAAAGAATTACTTTTGTAAGAACCAAAACAACATGTTAGAATCTACTCCTAATATGAGAGCTGATGTCCATCATGCTTGACTGCACAAGTGCATTGTTCATGCAATGTGGAAAAAATATAAATTAAGTTCTGATAGTGGTAATGCTGGTAGCAAAAATTGCAAATGAGGCTGTGGTGGTAACTACGATAAAGTCTGGCAGAGTTTGTGTTTGACAGTAGCCTGGAGTCAGGCAGTCAGTTTTGTGCTCGCGCATTTGGCAGGAATTTGGTTTCAATGGCTGTGAAAATGTTTTCATACTTTATTTACTTCATAAAGAAATTTTATGCACGTATTTTAAATAAACTCTGTAAAGTTAATGCTGTAATAAACTGTATCACTGTTCAACATAATTAAGGTCCATTCCTGTCAGCTTTTATAAGCCATACCACATTAATGTAAAAGCATCTAATGAGACAGATGGATGTGTTATAATACAGTATTGTTCCTTTCCACTCTAAATACCACAAGACCTCTTTCAAAGTATTGAAAACTTCAAGTCTTATGGGTAAATGGTTAGCATGCAACCTCACGGCAGTTCTTTCTTGAATCATGACACCAGCCTCTGTGAATACACGCATGTGTCTGTGAAACAGAAGGCAGAAGACAGACGGAAGGTGTGTTAATATTGTTGTCACAATGTGTAGTCTTGTAGGCAATTACCAATGTTTTAGAGGAACTTACTACCCCTATGGAACCTCAGATCTCAGGTGATTATTGTGGTGATTAACACTGGCCAAGGTAAATTACTTTCACACAATGTTGCAAAATACATATTAATGAGTATTAAAATCACTTGTCCCTTGAACAATACATTTCATGATTCAGGAGGATTATACATCAGATATTTTAATCATAACAGAACATATTTCATAATAAGAAAATAAGTCTGAAACCCAGAATGAAACCAATACTGAAAAGAAGCATTTGAAAAAAACAAGCATCCTAACTTTCATTACCAATTAAAATACAATGTTATTCACTTTTAGAACTCTACTATACAGCTATGTTTAGGACTTGAAAAATTGTGACGTGTAGCCTTAAAATTCTAAAACTGAGCCAATACAAAGAATATATAAGAAGAATAGAATGTTGAGAAATTAAGATTTGGTTATTGTGGCTTACATTTTAGCAGTCCAGCAAGTAGTATACACTTACCAGATGGTTCTAATAAGTATCCAACAGGTATGAGTGTTATGCCCTCCACAGTCCAGTCCGTATGCGATATTCGGAATACTTGACATGTCGGCAACTTCTGGACATTACTGTACACAGCCACAAGCATGGTGCACTCCTATACGAGATATAAAAGAAGTAATGCAAGAAACATCAGGTTTGAAATATGTCATACACTTTTAATAAGCAATTTTATTCATTCCTTATCACTGTGTAACTAGAATTAATAAATAATAAATAAATATCTTGCTGATGTCAGGGAAGGAACAGGGCAACAGGAAGTAAGGTTAAAAGCAATAAAAGGTAATTATTTACACATAGTAATATTTGTCGAGCCATCAGCTAGTGACTGAAGGACATGTCACAGATTTTGTGAAAGTAAATGAATTTCTGATCAAAAAGTGTAAGTTTATCATGTTCACAAAAAGTGCTAACCTTATTGAAGTCCACAGTATATGAGTAGCCAGGGTGAGTTAGCAGTCTAACTTCACCTGGCCTCCTTAAGGACACCACATACAAATGCTTCTCCAATGGAGACTCTCTAAGCCCCAGAAAGTACACCAACTGACGATCTGGATCAACCCATACAGAACGATCCAGAACTTCCCACTCGCCTGATGTTAGTGCCACTTTCTGGCCAACACGTGGTTGTAGAAATACACCTGCCAAAAAAACCCACAGCCTTTTACTGTTTAAAGAATTACTTTTGTAAGAACCAAAACAACATGTTAGAATCTACTCCTAATATGAGAGCTGATGTCCATCATGCTTGACTGCACAAGTGCATTGTTCATGCAATGTGGAAAAAATATAAATTAAGTTCTGATAGTGGTAATGCTGGTAGCAAAAATTGCAAATGAGGCTGTGGTGGTAACTACGATAAAGTCTGGCAGAGTTTGTGTTTGACAGTAGCCTGGAGTCAGGCAGTCAGTTTTGTGCTCGCGCATTTGGCAGGAATTTGGTTTCAATGGCTGTGAAAATGTTTTCATACTTTATTTACTTCATAAAGAAATTTTATGCACGTATTTTAAATAAACTCTGTAAAGTTAATGCTGTAATAAACTGTATCACTGTTCAACATAATTAAGGTCCATTCCTGTCAGCTTTTATAAGCCATACCACATTAATGTAAAAGCATCTAATGAGACAGATGGATGTGTTATAATACAGTATTGTTCCTTTCCACTCTAAATACCACAAGACCTCTTTCAAAGTATTGAAAACTTCAAGTCTTATGGGTAAATGGTTAGCATGCAACCTCACGGCAGTTCTTTCTTGAATCATGACACCAGCCTCTGTGAATACACGCATGTGTCTGTGAAACAGAAGGCAGAAGACAGACGGAAGGTGTGTTAGTATCTAATGCAGTACCCTCTTAATGTTTCTTTGAAGACAATGGAGTATCTAATGCAGTACCCTCTTAATGTCTCTTTGGAGACAATGTATTGGAACATCAGTTCTAAGAAAACAATAACCAACTGGTTTTCTCTAAGGAGATGTTGGCTTCTCAGTAGTATTTCCATAACATAACATAACATACCATTATTAATTTCCAAATGATTACAAGCCACTAATAAGTGAATATCACCAATTTTCCAAACAAGATGACCCAGAAAACTGCATGCTAAATGGTGCTGTGAAAATGTATTAGTAAGTAAATGGATCTGAAATATGATTTTACTGCGCACAAATTGAAGAGTGGAGCTGAGTAGGGAAGAGTACAGTTCCTCACTTTCCATACGCTCCAGCGTCTCCTCCACTCCATTGCTCAGTCCGGACACCTGTGCCGTGATCAAGTAAAGATGTCGGAAACCAGTCTCCTCGCTTGCCCACACAAATCTCATCTCACTGTTGTCGTTTGTGGGGAAGAAGTACAACAGATCATTCACCTGACAAAAGCAAGCAATAACAATAGTGAAGCACTGTTACACAGTTATCTCATCCAATTAAGTCCCATTAGTACCTATGTCTCGAACTTTGACCTTTGAGGAACAGCATCACACTATTGTAACATACTAAAATTCTTGCCAGTAGTATACCACTGCATCTTGATGTGTCAGGTGTGTAAAGCTGTCCTGCTTCATGCCACATAGGCGCTTGGGGGGAAAGGTTGTAGAGCTCCTACTCATTCTTAACCTCGGCACTATATGAGGGTGAGTGGTCAGCATCATGCCAAAATTGTGCTTTACTTCTGGGAAAGGATCTGGGTACCTACTGGACAGGATGTTGGGTGGGCCTCACACCCAGTATGGACACAGAGGCTAGAGGAAAAATCCTCTGCCCCTGTCAGGTATCAAACCCTGGTCATCCAGTCCGTAGTCAGTCACTATACTGACTGGTGACACTTCAGACACATTGAGCTCTTCTAGGGCTCATGATCTCTTCCAACAATTCCATTCAAGTGGCATATAAGTGTGCAGATATCAATATTAATGCAAAGCCATGCCATGTGAAGTCTAGTAGAAGTTTACCAATGTTTCAGAGGTACTTACTGCCTCCATCATCAGGGTTCTACCAGTCTGCACAGTGCTACAAGCCAGAAGACAGCCATCTTCATACTCACTGCCATTAGAACTTCAAATCCTACTTGAAAGATTTTTACTTCATGTAAAAGGGATTTTGAGTTGGAATTAATAAAAATCTATACTTTGGTATATATGTTAATACATAGCACCTGCAATGAAATTTTGCTGTAAAAAATAAAACTGGAAGGAATGGAAGGGAAGAGCCTCTGACCATTGAAGAAATACAGAAAATCTTTACATGAAAATTAAATGCTTTGTCGAGTAACATAATGCAATGAAGGCCTCACAGGTTAGAATTAACTTCTTTATTAATAAGACTAAGCACTTTTCACTTCATATATTTTCTTCATGACACTGTTTCAACAGCAGAGGTTATATCACCATATCTGGGAAAACGAGACAAACAAAATGGCAGTGGCCTATTAAATATAACATTTCTGTACTGACTTACATTGATCCAAATGTCTGTGTGCTGCGTATATATAACCTGGACGGCAGGCATGGGTGGGTTCAGGTTGTTCTCTACATTGTAAATGTTGGGTGGAGGTTCTGTAAAATTATCAACAGACAGAAGTACCAACTCCAGTCTCTGCTGTCTTCGGTCCAAAAGCTGCACCCAAATGCTGTAATTAAACAATCTCTTATACTACAGAAGGTGGTTTGCATATACAAATGTTTATATGTTCTAAATGCTTGCAATCTGCAGGAAAAGAGCTACTGTCTGATTTAGGGCAGTGTTACTCTGCAATAGCGTTCTGCGACATGGGACTAAAAAGTGCTGCAACATTCTCGACACATTTAACAATTGCTCACAAAATATGGCAGTAACAGTGAGATTGTGTTCATCCCTGTTTTGCAGTCCCATTGGCCAATCTTGCTGTTTATTTGTTAAATTGTTGTTACCTCAGTATTTTAAATATCCTTTCTATTTGTTATACACTGTGCTTTTCCAGACTGGCCACATGTATGTACCTAGCCCCATGTTTCTGAAATTTATATTCCGACTCTGATTCTGTAATAAGTTCCATACCTTCTAAACAGTAAAGTAAAAAAATTCACAATCAAATTCCTAATAAAATAAATACTCACTGCTCTGCATTTGGTGTCCAACCTACTCTAACCAAGTACTCCATCCATGGAAACATGACTGAAAGCGGATATTGCAGTTCTAATGTATCTATGTCCATAATTTGCATATTCTCATTCAGTCTAAACTGTACCATCTTCAGATTAGATTTAGAGTTAGGTGTGCCAGCACGCGGGAACCTGTAAAAACAACAAAACCTATATTTTTTTAATATCTGCATTTAAGTAAATAAAATCTTAGAATTGGGAATAAAAGAAGGAGAAACCTCCCCACACTACCGGAGTCCTTACACAGCCACAAACAGTAACAGGATAAAGTCTGTAAAGCAGTCTGATTTATCTTAGATGTAATCATAAAATAAAATAAAAATGTACTGGTCTGCACACTGTTATTCATATTAATTATAACAGACTGATCAACTATTCCAGTAACACACAATTTTAATTTTTTGTTGAAAATTCACAAATTTATTAATTTCTTTCTGCTTACAACTTCTAAACAAACCACTGATCTATCTCAATGTATTTTTATGTGATTAAGTAGTTATTATTATTCAATGAAGCTCACCTAAATTCCTCTAGTTCTCCAAGATCTGCATTTGAAGATGGAAAACAGAATATTTTAACATCACTCTCATCTACTTCTTCATAAACAATTCGATACATAGCATCTGTAAAAATAAGAAAACAGGTAGTTAAGATTTCATGAATCCATGAACGATAATGTAAATTTAAATATATTTAATCTTTAGACATATAAATACAGTATTTATTGCCAGAATTAATATTTCCCAGACAACATAAATATGTTTATTGTAACACTCATTCAATATACTGTGCATTTCACTTGTTTACAGCTTAATTTCCATGATCACAAGCTAATTATTTCAATGGTACTGTGCTTACATTCAAAGTTTTTCCACTAAAGCATTAAAATTCATTCCTATCCATTGAAATATTAAATGAAGTAACACCAACGTGTGTCCTGTGCCGTAGCCGCGCGGTCTGAGGCATCATGCTTCGGACCCGCGATACGGAATGCGCGCTGGTTCAGGTCTCGGGGGAGAAGAAATTTTCTCATGAGCTTTCGACCAGTGTATGGGACTGGTGCCAACCCGGCATCGTGAGGAAATTGGGGAGCTACAATACGTAGCGTAATCCAGTCATGAAAGCTAGCAATGGCTGGGGGTTTGTCGTGCTGACCACACGTAACCCTATATCTGGTTGGATGATTGTTCACCTCTGCTTAGGCATGTGAACGCAAGGCCAGCAGTCAAGCTAGTCGGCTTTGGCTCTCTGGAGCTGTTACGCCACGGATTTAATTTTTTTAACACCAAGATGTAATGAAGGTTATTCTCCTAATTGTATAGAAAACCATCAACTGCCCAGCCCTGAAGATTTTTTTCAGACAGACAGTTTTATAAAATACAGCATACTGTAATTATTAAATTTAAGTCTGTAACCCATGAAAGGCATCCTCATTACTCGCACATTGAAAACCATTAATTCAAAGGACTGTATTTGACAATCGCCAAGTTGTGAAGTTGAAATGAAGATGGTAAATTAATGGGTCCTACCTCTGAAAAATAACCTCATATAAACAAAATCTATGTAAAGCTTTGAGATTAAGAAGGGGGTACAATACAGTATTACAGAACTGCCATCTGTTTCATTAATGTCTTTGACAGTGTAACTCCTGTATTCATGTCAATAGCAATTTCTCCATATCAATATCATGTACACGTGTCTTACCAATACTTTTTGGTTGCCACCAATAACCTTGATATCTGTTGAATTCTTCCTGCATCACATAAGATGGGATTCCAGCACTTAGAGGGTCGTCTGCTAGACTGCGGCCACCTTTGTGAGCGAATGTCAGCCTTAACGTGCTTCCTGAAATGTTGAAGAACAATGTCCATCTTATGATGAGTCCTGATTTTGAGTTTCAGAAAAAGCATTGTTTCAAGTATGCTAATTGAGGGATGTCTAAAATGTGATACTTTAGTTTCATCAACACCAAAGTTTACAGTATATTTTGTCGCAGAACAACGGTAATGTATAATCAAATTACCTGTTAGTGCATGTGATACCCAAATATCACTATTACACACATAAGCTATGAGATCAGGGTTGGAAGGGCATATCTGAGGGTTAAGCTTTGCTCCACATGAATTCATGCGCAGTTCAGCTGGAAACAAGGGTCCATTCTGAAACAATTCATAAATCATATCACACGATATTAGTTTGTATTCATTGCAACTTCCTGTATTCTAAAGCATATCTCTTATATGAATAAAGTAGCTCTAATTGGGTTGCATTTCAAGATCTAAGCACCATCATGATTACTCCAGTTGATGGCTCATTTATGGAGTTATACAGAATTCATTAGATCTGGAAAAGCAAAAGCAGAGTGTCAATGCAACTGAATGTGTTTTTGCATGTTTTGCTGCTCTTAGCAGATTGTGTTCAAATCTCCTTATCAAAAAATATTTTCTTCAGGACAAGATCTTATGAGTACTACTGAATCACTGAAAATATTTGCCCCTCATTCCACCAGACTTCTCACCATATATCCAGTATCGAGACACTGGAACAGACTGCTAGCCGCTGGAAAGACTAGTTTCCCTGACTCTTGGTGGAGTTCATATGAAGTGATTCCCCATGCCGCCAACCTCTTGCGCTCCCAAAGCATCTGTTCTTCACGTGAGAACCCACTGTCAGAAACACATAATTAATGTGATCAACAGACAAAACAGACAAAGTTTTCATGAGAACTTATGACATGGCTTCCTTCAAATGCTTCAATGAATATGGAAAGTTTACCAAGAGCTACAAAGAAAAAAATATATAGTTCAGATATTTTCACAGGTACACACTATCTATCTAATGCAGTATTCTAACAGGTTAATGAAAATCTAAAACCAACTGCAGAGGTCTCAACAATGTCATAAAACCTCTTATCATCTGCATGAACCTCAAGACACCGAACAAAACCTGTACTATTTACACATTCGTCTAGATGGAATAGAAAGCATGAGCCATAAGACCCATTTTAATAAAACCCTTCCATCTACACCTAGGTATATTAAGGGGTCTCTTCCCTTTAGGCTTTCTAACCAAAATTTTGTACACATTTCTCATCTCCCCCATATCTTTGGGCTGACATTCAAACACATGATCTACCAAACACAAAACATATGTTGTACGCATCACACAAAAACTGTCAGTTTGAAATGTTGGTCTGTTGTCAGTTTGTGACATATGGATCAATAATGTGTCTACAGGAATTTACCACATACCTTGTGACACTTGAAAGGCTCTGGAAATTTGCTTCTATTACAGGAAGCCACTGCAGACGATGTGATCCTGTGTGATGGTCACTATTCATTACATCTGCATAAAGTAATGTTGTTTCCCATCCATTTACAGGAGTGCTTAAGAAATAGATGCGTGTCCTTCCATCAGGTAAGGTCCTAAATGACACAGAACCCGGCACCATTGCTGATAAACTTGATAACTGGCGACGTAAATCACAAACCACATTCCTCAGCTCAGCCCAAGAGCCTTTTTCAACACTGTGACACCTTTCAGGCTCCTCATGGTCTTCCATTTTCCACGACTCCAGCCTCAATAACAGAGCACCAAAACCTTTCATTTATTCTATAAATCTGACAATGTAAAAAATAACCCAAACAGATTTATAACTTCACAGTTACTGGTGACAAAATACACAGACAAGAAGGATCTTAAACATATTTACCTGCCAAGGCTTTAGAAGTCCTTCTAACAAAGATTTATTTTGGTAAAGGGCAGCATAGCAGCTCTGTAACATTACATACACAACCAGCTCATAAAAATACAAATCACTTCTTCGAATAACTTCATTCACATTTCTACTTTCGGAATGCATTAATCTGATGGTAAATGGGTTAAACAATGTGCCAATGTAATTCAGTACAAAGAAATGTAATTAACGGGCAGTGAGGTTAACTTCAATTAGTAATTTATAAAAACAACTGACTGCTACCTTGACCATTGCGTTTTATAATCTGATTAATATGCATCTGCTACAATAAAATGTTTGCCAAAGTTTGACAAATGTAGCAGCTGATAACACCAAACCACACTTTCCACAACACTGAACTACGAAACAGACACAAGACAAAATAATTCCAGTAACCTTATCATGAATGCAGATAATGTAAATAAAACAATGACTTTAATATACCCCTTATATTTTGGGAGATAAATGAATGCGGTCCACACACTACCCTCACCTGCTTTCAGTTCAGGCCCATGTTCATTGCCCTCTATCAGTGTACGTTGAAAATAAGCACAGAAGACGATCTACCAGCGTTTTCACCGCCTTCAAAACATTACACTTCTAATTGCTTGCAACAAGCACTTTAAATGCCATTGAATCGGTTCAATACGTATTAACAGCAAAATATATTTGTGCAGACCATGCTTTCTTGCAACTTATTATTATTATTATTATTATTATTATTATTTATTATTGACTGCAAATGGGTTTATACCCGGTGGCAGTGTTGAATAAAACATTGACAGAAAACTTTGTTTTACTCTTTCTATTGTTTTACCTCTAGTATGTGTTCATATAGACTGTCTACAATTGCAAGTTTTGATTTGTTCACCATTTCCTTTCACCAAAGCTCTTGTCAAGTATTAAAATAAACGACATGATGAACACACTAATTGAACAGAACGTAACATTGATGACAAATCGTTTAATAACCCTTGATACGACGTTATAACATTCTTAGAATGTCTCCAAGGTCCTTTCGAAATACATTATGGTTAGCGTTACTGTTATTGTTAAAAATGTATAAACATAACCTGCTTAATTTAAAACTGATTAGTGTATCTAATTAATATCTTCCATTGAATCATACGTTCTGTAGAGAAAAATTCTAACAGCTTTTGTGAGTACTTGATACACTTTCAAATGCTAGTAGTTGGTACAGAACTTTATTACAGATGTGAGAAATTACCGAATGAAATAATTACACGTTCAAATTCCAAAGAAAGCAATTTATTGTTTAAAGCCCTAAATACGTGGCGTGTATACTGTCTGACGGTGAAGTGAACATTCTTTAAATGCATACTTGTGCCAGAACAATGGCCGAATTAACAGTTCTTGCTCATAAAACAGTGAAACATTTAAATCACCAATAAATGCGTGTTTTATCTGCAGAATTTTACATTCATTGCTGCGAAAGTGATAAGATACGACGCTATTCTTTCGACAGATCTGTATTATATCAGAATGAATGTTCATATGGCACTCCGTGTAGTCAAGTTTCGATATGCTGTGCTTGGGCACGCTTGCATCACCATGGTGCTTACAGCAAGCGGCGATATCAGTAAAACCAGTAAGTAAAATCATTTTGACATTCAATAACGCTGTATTTTGGCAACGGAGTGTTATTACAGGTTTCGTATGATTCTCAGAATAAACTGAGATTACTTCCTTCTCCCTTCCCCAGAAACAAGTTATTATCCTCGTAGCAATTACACATGTCCGTTTTTATAGTGTGTGATAAATACTCTGAGACTGTAAGTCAGGAAGAGGACAGTCCGGTGCTGACACCTGGTGCGGGGACGAACAAAGTATCTACATGCGGAATAGTTGAAGTGCCTCTCGTAGTCGGAGGCACCAACGCCGCGCCGAGAGAGTTTCCACATATGGTATGTACGAACTTTTCTGCCCTACAAAGTTTTAGACAGACATAAAAATTCATGTAATATGTGCGTAAGCATCGGGTGGTAAACATGCTTCAGGAGGATGTATAAAAAAAACCCGCACGCGATATATATGCACGAAAATTGCGCAAGGAGTTTCATAATTCGTCCCTTTCACCGAATATTGGGGTCGTCAAATCAACGAGGATGAGATGGGCGGTTCATGTAACACGCAAAGGGAGGTAAGAAATGCATGCCACATTTTAATAATGAAGTATCAAGCGAAGAAAACCACTTTAGAGACCTAGACGAAGAAGCTGAGATGACACTTGAAATAGATCTTAGAGAAATAGGAGTACGAAGAAGCTGAGATGACACTTGAAATGGATCTTAGAGAAACAGAAGCGAGGATATTGAGTGGATTCATCTGGCACAGGACACAGTTCGATGATGGGTTTTCATGAACACAGAATTATCTTTTAGTTTCATAGAAGGCGGGGAATGTTTATGAAAAGCTGACAGACTATCAATTTCTCACGAGTTTCAAGGTCTGCAATTTTCAGGCAATCATCGGCTACGGGTCATCAGAAAGAGAAATATCGTGGATGTGTGGTGGTACCCTTGTGAGTGACGAATGGGTGCTGACAGCAGCGCATTGCAGTAAGAGCAGAGACAAGTAAGCAAACACACATCGGTCTGTCGCTGCCACTGTCGTCCGGGTTGATGCGCCGTGTAGTCTGGTGGAAGTTTACCGACGTTTCAGAGGTCCTAGCTGCCTCCATCATCAAAGCCCTGACCACGGCGCAACAACCCAGAAGACATCCATCTTCAGACTCACCGTCGTGAAAACCTCAGATGTTAAAACACTTCGTTTTCGCTAATCGCGGAAAGATTAGTTCTTTGCGATTTTGAATACATCATCAGCCTCGGTGTTGAGATACATATTTCAAATACTTTTATAAAATACCCTAATCATATTTTAAATTTCTCAAGGGCACCCAAAATCTCTTCAGATGACAAAGAACGTGTCTGCGAGTATAGATTTCAGATAGCCTGTATTATTATAATAAGAACAAATATTCAGACTACTTACGAATACATTTTGACACCAGTGCTTGCTTTTATAAGGCCGGAACGGGCTGACAAGTTGCCTAATTCTTTCACTCCTCGATGAAGATGATGTCTGCTCATACTTTGCTCCTGTTGGACGCCTTTCCAGAGGTCCAGCGAAATGGGTTCGACTCGGTGAACTAAATTTGGAAGAGAATGACGAAGATTCGAAACCCAAGGACTTCAATATAGTGGAAATAATCCCCCATCCAGATTACAAACCGCCATCAAAATACCACGACATCGCACTCTTTAAACTCCGCGAGAAAGTTGTGTTCGACGCTTACATTCGGCCGGCTTGCCTCCAGGTCGAGAAAGACTTCAAGGACACGAAAGGAATTGCCATTGGATATGGACGGATGGACTACGGTATTTTAAACCTCCATTAGTACCTTCTAATTTAGTAACCCCCAGGATATCAAATCCAAAAGTTAAAAGAAAAGGAATGTCTCTTTGCGATCGGAATTAATCCTAAACTAGTGTTTGAAAACATGTCGGGAAAGAAATCAACGCCTAAGCATATAAATAACTGCAAACTAATTAACTACTTATCTATCTAACTATCTAAGTAACTAACTAATAATTTGGTTATGTTTGAAATTCGTGTTATAATAGAGCAGGATAAAAATCTGATTCCAGAAGTCCGCACTTTACAATCTCTTTTTAATATTTCCTTTTAACTATCGTGACCTTCTGCAGAAACAATTGAAACTTTTTTCGAGTCGAACGACTGACGCTGATAACATTGAGTCATGAACCTACTGAAAATGTGTCAGTGTTGCAGGCGGTCTTTAAAACAACCTTGTAATAAATGTTTATCGAAGTATGCTGAACTCTATTTACCCGACTTTTTAAAAGCACTTTAAGCATCTTTTTTTTTTGTAAGTGTAGAAAATAATTATGCTCTTATGTAGTCCTATAATACTCGACGAAATTGCGCAATTTGAGTGAAATTAGAAATGTCAAGACAATATTTCGTAAAATTCTGATGTATCAAATTTAATCTAAATTGGTTTATCCGTTCTCGACCTTTTTATGCATTTATACAGAGAAGCACACATTTTAAAATGTTGTGAACGCATTTAAATATGAGTTCCGGGCCGCCATTTTTTGTGATTGTAACTAACAAAGCTTCAGCCGATTAAACAAACTCAATTAAAAATGAAAATCGACGGTTTCCTTGTAGGGCGGACACTCCTGTCTCAATTACCCAACCCTTTAAAGCCTACTGGTAACTATACGTACCACCTGCTTTAACAATCATTAACTCCGAAATTTGTACTTATGGGTTTGCTACGATTCTGAGTCGCAAACAGCGATTATGTCCTTAAGCAATATTAATTGACTAATCTTTGTAATTTGTGTTTTCTTTGCGGTACGGACTGAATTCTTAAACAATACGATTTAGATGAACACCAGCCTCGAAGTGTAAAGTGTATTTATCTTCAGCTAGCGATGCCCAGAGCAAGGAGCTTATGAAGGTCATTCTGGATTTCGTGACAAATGACGACTGTTCCACGTATTACAAGAATGACGTCGGAGGAAAGCAGATTCCGAAAGGCCTAATTGACGCTCAGATGTGTTCTGGTGTACTCGAGGGAGGAAAGGACACTTGCCAGGTGAGTGGTAGAATCGTAGACTTCAGACGTTATCTAACATCTCTATCAACTCTTGAAGTTATTTACGATCAATAGGCCTGTCCCTTGCGTAGTCTGTAAATAAATATTTATATGGAGTCGTAATGTTGTCAGTCCAACATTTCGCTTTGAATCCGGTTTACTCAGCCCAAATCCATTAAAGCTGGTATCATCTACATGGGTCTGGGAACGTTACCAGTTCAGTCCTTGAGGAATACGTAGTGCACTGGTGGGAAAAGAACCCTGGGATTTGCTATTTCCTTACCCTCCGGCGTCTTTAATTTCGGTAACCATTGGATACAAGCCACGGTGGTCTAGCGGTTAGAACGCTGGCCTTGTAATCCTGGAGTCTCTGGTTCGATTCCCGGCGGTGCCCGAATTTATAACTTGTGTTGGGCAAGGCCGTGGTCTAGCCAACACGGAGTTTTCCTCCGGGGGCTTCCCCGGTTTCTCCGTGGCATCCCAACAATTACTCCATTCACACACAGAAGAAGGCAATGGCAAACCACTTCTGGATCATCTGCCAAGAACGTATATGAACAGGTCCCAGTCCGAGAAAAAGATGGAAGTAATAATAATAATAATAATAATAATAATAATAATAATAATAATAATAATAATAATAATAATAACCATTGGATAGGAGGCTGGGTGAGCCTCAGAGCCGTTGTGGATTTGATGGGGAAGAGAGAATCGCTGTCTCTGCAGGGAATCGAATGCCGGTCGTCCAGAACTTAGCCTAGTCACGCCACTAACAGCTTTCCCGGACAATACCCCGAGTCTCTGGAGGACGAGTACGAAAGACTAGGGCCTTGAGGGTCAATTATTAAGAAGACCGTGGACAATGGAGTTAATTATAATGATGCAATTAAAATCCTAGTGGTAATTATACATCCCACCTGCTTCAACAATTAATAAGACTGTACTTTTTATTTATGTTTCATGTGATTGTCAGTATAAATGGCGATTATTTTCTTAAACAGCGTTAACCAGTTTATCTTTGTAGTGGTGAAATGTTTTGTTTTCTTTGCGGTACGGACAGAATTCTTAAATATTATTTAGGCGTGAGCTTTGGCTTTAAAGGGTTGATGTAACATCCCCAAAATGATCTATAATTTTACAAATACAAACAGGTTTAAAACCGATAGAATGCGAAGTGTTCTTAATGTGCAGGGTGATTCCGGAGGTCCTCTGCAGGTGGTGCTGGACAATCCCTACTGCATGTACAGTGTGGTGGGTGTGACGTCATTCGGCAAGTTCTGTGGGTTCAAGAATTCCCCTGCGGTTTATACCCGAGTGTCTTCATACGTCCCCTGGATAGAGAGCGTGGTCTGGAAATGAAAATTATTGAAACGAGATGTTAATCTAAAATACATTCGAAAATAATTTAATTTTATATTATAATGAACTTAAAAATAACATATTTGTAAACATATTAATTTAAATCAATAACAATTCATGTTTATACCATCTTGTAACACGTATAAATAAATGCTAAGCTACACGTTTAGAATGACATATTCTGTGAAGGAATTTTAAGCACTGATCACACCCATGACTGTCATTTTAAATATCATTCACGTCGAGTAACAAGCCAGAAGGCCAAATTCGACGTCACCGTCCTGAGAACCTCAGCTCTCCCGGTGTGTTCGTATTTCCTTCTTGTATCTGGTTGAGTTTCCTCAGGTGGAGAAATGCGAGACTTTAAACTGTCGGAAATGATGGTACCACTCTGACGTCATACACTTGCATGACCTCAAGAGAGTAGTTCGGTTTATAAGGCAGTTGCCATGACGACTACCTGTTTAGTTTGCCAAGTGCTTCGTCTCGTGTAGTTAGAATTCACGCGTGCTGTAGTTGGCTGTAGGTTCGAGGAAAAATGTATTCATTTATCGTGTTCCTATTTTTAATCTGTTATGTTTCTGCTCAGAACGTCGAAGGTAAGTTCTACGTCAACGCTGGATGTGCTAATTTTCTGTCATCCTATCCTTTTAACATAAGAAACAAGTCTGATGTACGTTCTTGGCACGAAGCGGAAACATCATCAGACATTAGACGAATTTTATTTTGATTTATAACTCTCCAATATATGCACGTATTGAACATGTGGCATGCACGGCACTCCAATATATGCACGTATTGAACATGTTGCATGCACGGCAGATATGAGAAATGCATACAATATTTTTGTCGGAAAACCTGAATGGAAGAGACCATTTGGAAACACAAGGTGTAAATGTAGGATAATATTAAAGTGAGTGTTATAGACGTAGAGTGCAAGGGTTTAAACTGTGTTCATGTAACTCAGAACAGGAAACGGGTAATGAATCTTCGAATTCTATAAAAGACATTTAATATCTCGATACTCATCATGATTAATTAATTTCTCAGGAACTTGTTTAATTCAGTTCGACCTTCAATACCAAGTCGAGATATTTTTATGCGTTTTCTGCACGAATAACATAAAATTAACGCAATATTTCAGCTTAGAAAATTTCGAAGATATTTCGAGAACATTTATTGTTGTTAGATTTTACACAGTAAGTTGTCGGTGGGAAAGGCGAAACATGGATCGTGTGGCGTCGAATGAAAACTGTGGAAACAATAAATTATTAATTATCAGTTGAAGGCAAAGAAAGAAAGTGTTTAACTTTGCACTCATGTAACGTATTAAAGAAAACTTGAAACATCAATTAGTGCAGAAAGTCTGCCTTCAGATGGAAAAGGAGGTCTTAGTCATTTAATGAACAATATACTTTTAGAAGATGGCTGTCTTCTGGGTTGTACCGCTGACTCGTCGTCAACCCGGAGACAGCGCATCTTCGTATTCACCGCCGTGAAAACCAAAAATCCTTCTTAAACTATTTTTAAACCAACACATCGCACGGAGAGCTATGCAATGATATTGCTACATTTCAGAAATGTCACTCTTCTCAGAAGCAAATTCTTGAACAAACTGATTTGTATTTGTCCATGAATGTTCCTTTTACTTTACTTCTTGTATCAAGTATGATGAATCAGACTTGCTATTTAAGGCTAATGTGCGGATGATGGATAATTATAAGCGTTTATGGGACCGTGATGCAGTCTACATTGATGTAATTAGTTATAATACATGTAACGTATTAAAGAAACCTTGAAACATCAATTAGTTCAGAAAGTCTACCTTGGAATACGATATGTGCCTTCAGATGGAAAAGGAGGTCGTAGTCCTTTAATGAACAATATACTTTTAGAAGATGGCTGTCTTCTGGGTTGTACCGCTGACTCGTCGTCAACCCGGAGACAGCGCATCTTCGTATTCACCGCCGTGAAAACCAAAAATCCTTCTTAAACTATTTTTAAACCAACACATCGCACGGAGAGCTATGCAATGATATTGCTACATTTCAGAAATGTCACTCTTCTCAGAAGCAAATTCTTGAACAAACTGATTTGTATTTGTCCATGAATGTTCCTTTTACTTTACTTCTTGTATCAAGTATGATGAATCAGACTTGCTATTTAAGGCTAATGTGCGGATGATGGATAATTATAAGCGTTTATGGGACCGTGATAGCGTCCACATTGATGTAACTATTTATAATAAACAGGTCAACTGTTTCTTCAGGCAAATCTGGTAGAGTAACTAGATGTACTCTTTGATTTATTTTTCACTCTCACTGATTTTCACGTCCATTTATTGAAGATCCAAATCAGTTTTTACGGAGCTAATTAAATTATAAACATGACGTTTAAAAAAAACATAAATTATTTTTTTTATTAATTATATATTCACCAAGTTAAAACATATTTCAAACACAGCTAATAGAATTTAATTAACAGTCTTTAATTAATTATCTAAAATTTCAGTCCGTACCGAAAAGAAAACACTACCAATAACCAAGATCAATCGATTAATTCTGTTGGGAAAATAATCGCTGTTTATTCTGAGAATCGTACAAAACTGAGAAATTCGCTTTGTGGGAAGAAACAACTAATAATTGATGAATATTAAAACAGATGGCATATATAGTTACCAGTAGACTTTAAAGTGTTAAATATATATTTTATGACAGGGGGTACACTAAAAACATTAAATTTGCGTCTCTACTTTTAGCGTAAACTTTAAACATCGGATGTAATCGAAGCAAAACTACTCAGAGCAGCTCCTGAGGTGGAAGCTACGGACAGACAGACAGACAGTTTCCCCTCAGTGCGTTCATTTATATACACCGTGCAACAAGCGCATAAAGACCATCACATATGTTGCATTTGCTTACACATACTATTTCATATTCCGTTAGTACCGTACAGTTTCAACCACTACAACTAAGACAGGAGCTAATATTTCAAGATAGGCAGATAAGAGAATATCGAGTGCTTAATCGATAGATTTATTAATTAGTTTATAATTGCTTTTAATAAATACTTTCTAGCACTATTTTTGATTGAATGTACATTATTAATCTACCGACCCGTGATAGTACAGATTGCTTTGATTGAATGTACATTATTAATCTACTGACCCGTGATAGTGCAGATTGAAAGATTAAAGAAAAGTTAGAACTGAGCTTCGTGAGCAAATGTTTTGAATCACGTAGTAACAATTACCGTCTTCCTTTCAGGTAGCAGTTTCAATGTCATGACTGCCGTATTATATAACCTTATTCTGGTCAGTGCTTTTCACAACATGTTCCTTTCCTTTTATACAAGATTGCTATCTTAGACGGGTTTACGGAGCACTTTGTGGCTTAGAAATCGTGGCCAGAAATCTCTTAGTTGCTTTAAATTTCGTCTAATGAACACTTATTAACTTTACGCCAGTGTCTGCTAATGATTCTACCGTACAATACTTAGTTTCCAAGACAAGTTTTCTTTTTTATAGTAGTGACGTATTCATATGTTAGTTTCTCAGCCTAAGACATTGAAAAAAAGTATTACCAGGAATGAAGGTCGTGTCTCTAGTTTATTTATACGTTATTTAACAACGCCCTGTTATATGATGAGTCATTTAATATAAGATATTATGGTAGGTTGATTATATAAGGCGAAATGAGAATAAATTGATTTTTGAATTATTTAACGGCTTTTAAAACACGTATATTATACAGCGCCAACTGGTAAGATGACGTCAAACAACAAATCGAAATACACTGTGTGTTCATTCTATGCACTTCGCTCAGATATTGTGTTACAGCTTTGACGTTTGTATTTTAAAATAAAATCGGAAAATTTTACATCCCAAGGAGAAGATTCGAAAAGAAACGTCTGCTCTAGTTCTCTGTGAAAACCTTTGAATTCTCACAAGTTTTTATATATTTTATTTAGTGTTCTGTCTGACGACAGGTCCATATGAACAGGATCCTTCCATCCTTTTCTCGGACTGGGACCTGTTCATATACGTTCTTGGCAGATGATCCAGAAGTGGTTTGCCATTGCCTTCTTCTGTGTGTGAATGGAGTAATTGTTGGGATGCCACGGAGAAACCGGGGAAGCCCCCGGAGGAAAACTCCGTGTTGCCTAGACCACGGCCTTGCCCAACACAAGTTATAAATTCGGGCACCGCCGGGAATCGAACCCGAGACCCCAGGATTACAAGGCCAGCCCTATGACAGACGCTGTCTTGATCTAAGGTCGATACCAGGTAGAGCTCATTTGCTTCTGGATTGTAGGTTTCACACTGACATTTCTAAAATAATCCGTGCCAAGTCTCTGTGTAAATGTCACTTCCTATCTCTTAAGAAGGCTAACTTGTATAGACTAGAAATATAAGGAATTCTGGCGTCTGTTTCATTAAAACGGTTGATCAACTTAAAGACCATTAATGAACGATGTTCTGCATTGTCCGTGACTTTCAGAGTAACAGTCACTTGGACACAACAGGGGCCTCAGTTCGCAAGATGCGATGATTATTTCAGACGTGTGGGCGCGCTGTTTGATGTGCATGACCTCTCACTGAAAATGGAAATATCACTCACCAACAGGTCTGTTCATATGTAGAGACAAAAATGGCGACAACAAAAACAAACCCTGCCAAACATGTTGCGTATTTGTAGTCAATGACGTGACAACGTTTAAAAAAAGTACTATCGCATTTCCTCGATTTTAAGACGCCATCGTCTGTAAGACGCAGGCTTCATTTAGTAAAAAGATTCCAGAAAACATACGTATATTACATAAGGAATTGTCAATATTTACAAAAACGCACACACAGAAATCATAGTCGACAAATGAATGTTTTTTTCGTCGTACATTCTTTGCTCCCTCATAATTATTTATTTTTTATTTTCTTATTTATCGCCTCATTCTCCTCTTATTTCATTCCCAAATAATCAAAATGGGATACCACATATTTGAGGTTCTCACGGTCGTCAAGACTCGATTGTGTCCTGAGCTGTGACACCGTGTAGTCTCGCAGGAGATTATCAACTTTCAGGAGGAACACACCACCTCCATCTTGAGTACGCAGTACTCATCTGAAATGTTGATAACAACCTACAAGACCACATGGCGTCACAGCCACGAGACCACGATCGACATTGAACACTATACGAGTCTTGTTTTGAGTGGTTACATCGAGTCATAAACATTTACCAAAACACGCCGAAGAAAACCGCATTGATCTGGACAGAAGGATCGAACAACCCAGTTATAGAACACGCTCCGTCTGTACTGAATTGATTTTTATTGTTCGAATAAACTAGTGCAATTGGTTCCGGTTTCAGGCGACCGC